CCATCAAGGTCACCTAAAAATGCACCTAAAAATGGGCCAAGCATTCAAACTCTAGGTCCATGGGGGCCATACCAATTCAAACCACCACAGGGATTCTCTTTAAAATGGTCTATTAGTTCTTGAAGAGATGGCTCAGCAGTTAAGAGTGTGGCCTACTCATGTGGAGGACTGTGTTGATATTTTGTTTGTGCTCTAACAAATAAAGCTTGCCTGAAGATCAGAGGGTGGAGCTAGCCACTATTTAACCATAGAAGTCTGAGGGTCTGTACAGACAGACAGGAAGTGATATGACTGGATGGAGAGATGAACATAGATGGGAGGAGACAGGTGCTTGGCCCTTTATGGGCTGAGGAGTTAACAAAGTAAGAAATGGCTGTGGCTTGCTCCTTTGTCTCTCTGATCTTTCAGAATTTACCTCAAAAAAAAAAATTAACCAAGAGTTTCTGAAACTAAGAATCCAGAATCAAATTTGAAAGCCATTTGATCTATTCTATAAAGAAGGACTCAATTAAAAGCAATCTGACTTCTTAATATCTGCATATGAATGGGTAGTAATGTTTAAATTTGACAAACAGAAGGTTATAATAGAACCAGAATAGGTTAAGTCAGACGTCAGCTACACAGAGGTCCTAAACTCAAATCCACTAGTACTCACGCAGTATTATGTATGTAAATAATACGAATGTAGTAACCATGTATATACTGTGTACATTTTTCTGAGACAAAGAAATCAGTATTCTCAAGGGACACAGGGCGAGACTGAAGAAATGGTCTTCAATTGGACTGCTCCCTAGCTGAGGTTACCATAGAATATCTCATCTGCTAATCCACTGGTGTTCCATTTATTCTCTGATGACTTCTAAGGCCATGCAACAGTGAAAAATGATGAGGAAACTGGCTAATTTCCAAAACTATTAGGAATTTCATAATTTTAAAAATCGTGTTCTCAGTCTTCAGCCCTCACATACCTCCTCTGAAAATAAATCAGTATTTATAACATCTCCTAACTTTACAGTACTGCATGCTGTTTATAATTTACTCCCCAACAAAATCTGTATACTCTTTTCCTTTTAAAGAGAATTACTCAAAACCATTGTTTGCATTTGTAATATTATTTTTTTCTGTCTTGTTTCATATTAAACAGTGTCTCACTCTGCAGCGCAGTAGTCTGGAACTCAGTACACAGGGAGCAGACCTCATGGCATCTCAGTATCCCTGCTTCAGCCTCCTAAGTGATGAGACTAAAGCTGGGAGCCACCAGACCACAATCATTCATATGTAAAAGTACCTCTCAAACAAAACTGTTCAGTTTACTGTCTTACATTTCTACTGCCACAACAAAAGACAGTGACAAAAGTGCCTCATATAAGGAAGTGTTAATTAGAAAGCTTGCTTGTAGTTTTAGATGGTGAGTCCATGACCACAATGTCAGGGAATGTGGCTGCCAGCAGGGAAGCACAGTGCTGGAGAAGGAGCTGAGAGCTAACATGCTGAGTATCAACCACGAAGTAGAAAGAGAGAGGCTTACTAGGAGTGGCATGGGCTTTTTAAAAGCTCAAAATCCATTCCCAGTGATGCAACTCTTTCACCAAGGCCACACCTCCTAATCCCTCTCAAACAGTTCTACCAACTGTTTGATAGAACAGCATTTGGTAGAACAATGCAGAACCAGCATTCAAACACAGGAGTCTATGGGAGCCATTTTCATTCAAACTACCACAGTTACCTATTATACTACATGTACGCTATTAGACAGAGAGCCTAAGAAAATAGCTATTATCAATAGGAATGAAGGTTAGATAAACCCTTTGAAAATCTACTTCTCTATATCAACAATGAAAACACTAGTTGCAAGTGATAGATGTAAATACTACCTTTTCAATAATTATACTATATAGAAATGGATTAAAGGCCCCAGATAAAAAGCAGAGGCTGACCAATTCTATTTCATTATATCCTTTAAGTTACCAGTCACGGCTCTCCCAAGTGGACAATGGGTACTAGAGGACGTGAGCCCCTCTCAGAACGACAGGGTTTTAAATAGATAATTATCCTGGAGGCGGTAAGAACAAGCTCCTTGCTATCCCCTATGGCAGCTTGCATTAAAGGAGCCCTCACAGACTCATGTATTTACACACTTGGTCCCTGGTTGGTAGTGCTATTTGGGAACTGTGACTTTGCTGGTAGACATATATCACTAGAGTTAGGCTTTGAGGTTCCAAAGCCTCTTACCCCACCCCCACCCCACTTTGCTTCTTGCTTCTGTTCAAGGTAGGAACCCTCAGCTTCTGATACAGCCACTATGCCTTCTGCTTGCAGCTATGCCTGCTACAATGACAGACTATTAGCCCTCAAGAACTGAAAACCCACATAAATTCTTCCTTCTCAAAGTTGCTGTGGGCATGGTGCTTTATCACAGCAAAGAAAGTAACTAAGACATCGCACAGGAAAAATGGGAGAATAACTAATTACATGAGCTCACAGGTGAAGGCTGGGGTGGGGTGAGAGTGAGTCTGTGGGCATAGAAAAATGTCTATAGCAAGAAATCAACACATCTGGAGAATGCAAAGAAGTCACTGGGGTAGCTGTGATGAAACTCCTCTCTATGGTCAGGTTCCATGCTAAACAACTGATAAAAAAGATCATTGAAACCCAAATGTTTTCCTTCAACAGATCAGTAACATTGACAATCTTTTAATCAGAGTAACAAAACAAAAAGAAGACTCAAATTATTAAAACTAAGAACAAAGAAAGGGACATTGCTACTACTGTTACTAGTGTTAAAACTGTTTTTTAAAGATCATGAAGATATAATTGAAGCATGTCCATGAATTAGAAAACCTAGACTAATTATTTTAAAAAAGGACACAAACAAAAGAACTAATTCAAGAAGAAACGGACAATGTAAGTAGGCCTTTAGCGAGAATTAGAAATTAAAAAATAAAACAAAGATCCTCAAAGGCCAGATCCATACCATTTCATGGATGAATTGCATCAAACATTAAAAAATAAAAATTCTTTACAGATTCTTTCAAAAAGTAGGAAGGAACAGAACAACTCTGAGGGACACTAAGGCCAGTCTACTCTGATATTAAAATAAAGGTTTCACAAAGGCTCTTCAGAATCCCAAATATAGCCTTTATGACCAAAAATCCTCATGAAAACACTAGAAGTCAAATCTAGCAAGACTAAGGGGCTATATGCCATAATTAAGAGGTCTACAGTCTTGTACATGTCCACAGCTAAGGCACACAGCTTCTGGAGGAGACGGAGGTCTCACGGACCCTACAGCACTGGGCAGTCTGTAGGTGCCACATCACGGGGGGACAACTGATGGGCTGATGCACCAGGAGGAGGCCACACCACACTCGCTAGATAGCAATGCTTGGGAAGTGTATTCGGAGTATGTTATCCGAATAATGTTCTCAAAACAGAAACGGAAACATTCTAAGAAGAAAACTTCTCTTGATAAAAATCAGTGCTACAACCTACAGTGGTAAGTAACTGGGCTAGATGACAGACAGCTAAGGATCTCTAGTCACAATAAGGACAAACTTGTAATTTTGGTGCGTGACAATCTAGAAGCACCTGGCCAGTGTCTACAGCAGCTGGGAAGATAGAGCTCACACTGAGCAACACAAAACAGACAGCAGCTCTCAGGTCCTTTGCCTACCGTGGATAGCTTTTCTCCTGAGAGCAGCTCACGCAGCAAGGTAAGCAAGCACAGCACTCGACAGCGCTGCAGAGTTTCTCTTTATCAGGACTCAAAATGTTTCTTGGAACAGTCTGCTGCTTTGCGTTTGACAGATGGCTCAAGAGTTAAGACCTAATTTGTTCTTGGAGAGCACCTAAGTTCCAGTCTTGGCACCCAACATGAGATGGCTCACAACTGCCTTTAATTCCAGCTTCAAATGAACCTGACACACTCTCTGGCCACTCACATTCAGAGGCCCACACAATTAAGTCTGATTTTTAAAGCACACTGCTTCTCATAGAGGAAACAAGAAATGAACTCTGAACCCCACCCAGGCCTTTGAAGCATATCTACACTTACAAATAGCATTCATGCTGACCCTAGAAAAGAAAATAATGACAGCTAGCTTTATGAACTGTAAGAACAGGGCAGAAAGAGGCTATGGGCATTCTGTGATGTGCTGCCTCATCCTAGAGATAACCAAAGTGTGTCCCACACAACTAAGCCAGTCATTAGCAAATGGCCAAACAGACCCTGACAGAGATTCACTGGCTTTTCTACTTAGTCACATGAGGTTTCCAGTTGAAAGCTCTGGTCCTAAATATTGCTTTTCCCACAAAGCGCATGGCAACTCACATAGGCCCAAATGTCTATGCCTGTACACAGAGTGCTTTCCACTATGAGACAGTGCCTAGAGAATAGGATATTACACTGGGGCATCTGTGTGCTAGCACACACAGACCATGAACTGGTCATGGTAAATACCCATAACTATAGTGCAGGAATCCACAACTAGATGCTGGTCTCTTCTGCGACAAACACACAATTACTACTGTGTACAAAACAAATGGAAAATAACACTATGTGAAATTAAGTAAAACTGAAAATATAAAATAGCAATCAAATTTTGAGTTATACTGTTATTGACGTAATTAGGTTCTCAAAACTATTATGAAAGAAAATCTACTCAGATAACTTTTCAAGCAATTATTAAACACTAAAGTGTTTATTTAAAATAGCAACAATTAAATGTCATTTGGAAATGAATTTGAAATAATAAAAAATAAGTTTTCTAGGCAGAAATCTTGCTTTTACTTTTTAAAACAAAGAAATCTAGCAAAACAAGATGGTGCATGTCTTTAATCTTAGCACTTGAAAGGCAGAGGCAAGCAGACTTTGTGAGTTCAAGGCCAGCCTGGTGTCTAGATCAGACATAGCTAAATGGTAATATCCTGTCAAGAGGGGGGGGGAGGGAGGGAGGGAGAAAAAAAACTACAGCAATGTAAAAGAAAACATTAAAAGTTACCTGCTTTCTCTGAAGTCCTAAGAAATACCATATCTGATGGAATTCTTTGGTTCTGCAAAAAAGTAATATACTAATTGTTATTTGAAGATGTACATTAACATAATACTATTACAGAGAAGAAATAGTTAATAAAAAGACAAATAAAATATTAAGTAAAATTCTACTAAAATAGCTATTATTCATAATTTTACATAAAAGCTAACATTTTAATTCACATTCAGATGTTTTGTTAAACAATAGCAAGCCATATACATGGCATTCAGACTTTTCTTGTCTAGAAAAGCTTAAATATTATCTCCACAGCATCTTAACCATAAATAACACTCCACAATGGTATGTCACATAACAACTGCATCCTCCTCATTCCAAACGCCCTGGAAAATGGGCAGTGGCTGCTCCAGGTCAACACCAAAGAGCACATCACCAGGAGATAACACGGACAAACAAACAAACAAACGAGAATAGGCAAATACAATTGCTATCATATAATGCTTACTTTGAAGACAAAACGTTGCTTCCTGGGGAAAGGGGAGGGGAAAAAACAGCGAACTCCTGTAAACAGTTTCTTTAAAAAGTTAGCCCTTTAATATTGGGGACAACTTAGAAATGTTAGAACTTGTAGTTTTCCACCCAAGACACACACTGCCGGGCATGTAAGTCAATGCACTGGAGGATGACCGAGCTGTTCAGTACCACCATCAAAGCAGCACAGACCATCAGACACAGGGGGAGTCTAAGGGAGCTTAGTGGCAGAGTACTGCCCAGCAAGCACAAGGTCCCCAGCACCAAGCTAATTACTTAAACCTAAAAGCTTACACATAAAGAAGCAGACTTCATGATCAGTGGCAGCACTCAAACCTTCAGTATTATGAATGTACTGTCATGACATTATTTTAAGAAAAATACTTAGATCAAGTAATTAGGACTAAACGGTAAAGTGAATTCACTTCACTCTTTACTTAAATTCTCGTATGGACCAAGCCTTAAAACTGCTTTTATTGTCCTTTCTGTTGCTGTTTGCATGTGGTACAAGGAGTCAACCTAGGCAAAGCCTGAACACAAGTGCCATACCCCCAGGCCCAAGTACAACGCTCAACACAGGCATGAAGCTCTTCCATATACTAAACATTGTATTGGCATAAAAACATTGTACTTAATCTAATCTGACTTCAAAAATATCAACTCTACTCATGATAGCTTAAAATTCCCTATGAGTCCTACATTCTGAACAGTGACTAACCTTTTCAGACATTTTCCTTACTTGTAACAGCGTCTTCCCCTTCTAAATGTAAGATATTATAAATTGCAATAAAGGGCTCAGTGGCAGAATACATTCTTGGCATAATGGAGGCCCTTGGTTCACTACCCAGCACCAAAAAAAAAAAAAAAAAAAAAAACCACACAAAAAAAAACAAGGCAAAGGTGAAACTGTGTATTAATCAACACAGCAGACATCTAGCCTATGCCAAGAAGCAAACACTTAACAAAATCTATATGCACCTTTGTCAGAATCTACCTTACAGAAGTGTGCAAAGATACAAGAATGATCATTGAAATAGTTCAACCGCATAAGAAAAATACATAAAGCAGAAATTTTCCAAAAACTGAATGGATGTAAGGCTAGTAATTTCCAGCATTTATACAATGAAACACTACAGATGTTTGTGTTAGTACCCTGTGCATACTAAGCATTGTTCCACTTTGTAAAATCAAACCACATCGCCTATATACAGAATAGAGCAACAAGAAGATCATTTCTATGGGAAGAAGACACCCTCAGCCCCAGGCAGTGGAGATGCAGGCCAACACCAAAGACTGCAGACAGCTCTGGAGGAAGTCAAATGGGAATATGCCAGAGAGACTTTAAAAGTCAGTAAAGAATTTCCCAAGAATATAGACGGCAAAGTAAGGATATATCCAGAGAAGACACACCCACACACTGACATCACACACCAGGTAGTGTGCAGAGCACTCCCAACACATCAAGAACAAGGCAGAGACAGCACAACAGGAAGAATCTTTTACAGAGAGAGACATAGCAGCACACAGGCCTTTCCATGTCACAGACAGGCAGGGTCAGCACCCCAGGAGGAAGCCCTGACCTGTATACTGCCCATCCATTCACTCTCCCTGCCTGACATGCTTTTATTAGAGCAAGGCTTCTCATCATGGCCTAAACTACTTTTCTAGTGCTTTTTAGCCTTCGTTCGCTTTCTCTCTTTACAATTTTAAACCGAAGGAATTAGAGCCAACAATTTTGTCTAATATAGCCATCTGGACAAGTACATTCTGAAAAGTGATAGAAAATTATTAACATATGAACACAATTCTTAAGACAAATGGGATACATTAAGCAATTAACACAGGTCTTACATTTAAAAACATGGCTTTATCTAAAGACATTAAAATACACTTTAGCAAAACAGAAAATGTAAATAATTAATTATATTAAAATACATCAATTCTTACAAACACACATTAAGAATCAAAATATCTCTACAGTTCCTTCAAAATACAAATGACTTGTAATTAAGCTAATGTTAATGACTGATATATGTACAGATGTAAAGTATATTAAAATATTAAAATGCATCAACCTTTTCCACTATGATGAGGTCTCCAACTTGTATGTCTGAACTCTGAACTTGCACTTTCCCTAAAAGAAAAGAAGTAGTACAATCAACTCAGAGAAACAAAAGTGCACTGGAGGAACTTTGATACGTAGTACTTTAAATACCTCTAGGGCAAAAAACAAATACAAATTTAAAAAAATTAAAAGCAGAATTTCTTCATATTTTCAAGTTATATTTCAGATATGCAATTACACCTAATTAATCTTGTTAAACTACCAAACATGATTAAATAACTACCCCCTAAAATAGTAAAAATAACAGAGCCAGGCCTCCTCATGATAAGTTAGGATCTTATGTAAATAGTACTTCACACACTTGGCTAGCATTTCAGTTTTCAGAAAAGGTAGCAATGATCAGGAACATTACTGAATAAAATAATCTGGTGACTGAAGCTGAGTTATTTTGGAAATGTATAGATCCTTAACTGATGTAGGAGGGTCTTCTATTTATCTGTTGTTTCATTGGTTAATTAATAAAGAAAACTGCTTGGCCTGATAGGTCAAAACATAGGTAGGCGGGGAAGACAGAACAGAATGCTGGGAGAAAGAAAGCAGAGTCAGGCAACGGCCATAAAGCTCCGCCTGAGATGTACGTGGGTTAGAATCTTTCCAGTAAGCCACGACCCCGTGGTGATACACAGATTACTAGATATGGGTTAAAGCAAGATGTGAGAGTTAGCCAAGAAGAGGCTAGATATAATGGGCCAGGCAGTGTTTCAGTGAATACAGTTTGTGTGTTGTTATTTCTGGGGCTAAGCTAGCCATGTGGGAGCCGGGCCGGACGAAAAGCAGGCCTGCTCACCGTATCACTACACTTAACACCACAAATTACACAGACTGGCACAGAAGACACAAAGTAAAGCAAATAATAAATGAAATCATCTGCCACTAGTATCTTTGCCTATACAAGTCAGAACTGAAAACTGAAAATTTCACTACTAAAAGTAATTTTTCCATGTACATATTTGAGTAAATCCTTAATGTCTATCTAATATGGAATATCTGTTAATAAAGATGAATATGTATTGCACTTAAGTATCTACAAAATATTGCATACAATAGGATGTTCAGCAGATTATCTAAAAACTCAAGTAAGCGTTCCCTCCTCCTGTCTCAGCCTTCCCTCTGCCTTTTAGAACAATGAGCACCCGATGGTCTGTGTTCACAGCTACAGCTCTATGGCACCAATAGGTTTGTTTGCAACTTTTATATGCATTGTGTTCTAACTGCCAGCATAGTTGGAGCTTTACCAAAACTAACATAACAAGATTCATTACTCAAGTTTGCTCCCATCAACTCCTCATTAAGCCTGATTTGCTAAACACCCCCTAATGAAGCTGAGTCTGATTGGCAAAGTTTCTGGAGTTGCTTTGTTTAGCACACAGCACATCTTTCCCGTGTTCTTCAATGAGGAAAACTAAGAAAGGCTACAACTACATTTATTCATAAGACAGCAATGTTCTTTAGAACTATATATAAAACAAATCTTACCATAGCTTCCCAGTCAGTAATTCTAAACACTTACAAAAGAATTCGTCTTTTAATCATTGCAAACATGGTCATGCTAAGCTTCTAGCCACTGTTGTTCTCGCAGCTAAGGATGAAATAAGAAGGGCTGCCATGGGCCTCTTGGGCCACTCTCCACAGAATCCCTATGCTGTCTTTTAATTCGCTTTCTCTCCTGGCCAGCCAATTAAGTTTAAATAATACACACATTTAAAAAGGAGGAAAAGAAAAACCTGTAGTTAGATGATGTAAAATAATAATAATTTTAAAACATAGAAGGCATGGCCATTTTTTATTCTTTTATAAAACCCTTAAATGCCCAAAAGGTTGGCTATTTTACCATATGGTATTTAATATTTAGACATGCTATAGTGACTGCTTTTCATTTCTATGGAATCAGTGATTCACGTTTAAGGGGAAAGTTTATGGCAAATAGTATCAAAAGTTTTGAGACAGTAATTTTATGCTATGAACAAAATGTTAGAAGGCTAAGCTGGTCATAGTGGTGTATGTCTGTTGTCTCAAGAGAACCACTTGACCACAGCAGTCTGAGTTAAGTGTGGGCATACAGAAAGACTGTCCTCTAAAAAGGAACTATAGAGGGCTAAATAGCAAACCACAGAGCATCTGCCTAAAATGTGTCTAGTTAAAAGGTCATGATTTTACATTTTGAAAATTGGTTCACATTGTTTTAATAGGACCTAAATTCCTGGACAGTTTAACCTTACACTCAGAAGACTGCTTGCTTTTTATTTGGTGACTCTGTCACTACAGAACCTGAATAGCTTCCTTCCATGCTCTGGCAAGGAGCCCTGGGGCACTGGAGGAGCTGCCTGCTCTGCACAGTCACCATATGACCTGACACTGTGCTGCCAAGGCAGAGCGACTGAGTGGCCCTGCCAGAGAAAAGCATCCACATGGCTTATCCCCGGAACTAAGCTAGCCTCTAGGCAAAGCACAGCGGTGTGTTCTCCCTTAGAAGCTCCTTACACATATGCCCAGTCTCTCAGTTTCAGGAATACTCCTCATTTTACCTATATATGCAGAACATAACACAAAATAGACTCCACTTGTAATTTATCTCCTTCAATCTGAATTCCAAAGAACTAAACATCTAAACACTAGGTCTATCTCTAAACCCCCAAACTTCCATTATTTGACAATAACTTAGAAGACAATACAGATTTGTATAATAAGTTCTTTATAGCTGATCTCAAATCAGTTTTCTGCCTTTTCTTAATGTCTGCTGCTATTTCACTGGCCTGCTCGGTGCCAACCTAGTAGCTCACCCTGCACCTGCACAGTGGTCCTTGCTTACTCTCACTCCTGCACTTGGTCCATTAACAAAACCCCTCTATCCCAGAACTCTTAATCACACAGCAAACAGTTCTGTAAACTTACAATGACTCAAATCAAGACCAGTTGTATTTTTCACACACTGCATTGACAGGTTTTGTATCAACTTGACACAAACTAGTCATCAGAGGAAGGAGCCTCAGTTGAGGAAATGCCTCCATGAGACCCAACTGAATGCATTTTCTTAATAAGTGATCAACTGGGGAGGGCACAGCCCATGGTGGGTCCAGGATCTATAAGAAACCACGTTCTATGGCGAACAATGAGGGCTGATGAGACGCAAAGGACAATGGCATGGGGGTTTGATCCTACATAATGTGATGGATTTGTGGGAGCCTAGCCAGTTTGGATGTTCACCTTCCTAGATATCGACGGAGGGGAGAGGTCCTAGGTCTTACCATAGGGCAGAAAACCCTGACTGCTCTTTGGACTGGAGAGGGAGGGGGAAAGGAGTGGGGGGAGGGGGAGAAGGGTGGGAGGAGGGGGCGTAGGGTGGGAGGAGGGGGAGGGAAATGGGAGGCAGGGAGGAGGTGGAAACTTGTTTTTTTTTTCTCCTTTTCTCAATAAAAAAAAAAAAAAGAAAGAAAGAAACCACGTTCTATAAGAAAGCACGTTGAGCAAAGCCATGAGAAGCAAGCCAGTAAGCAGTTCCCCTCCATGGCTTCTGCCTCAGTCCCTGCCCTGTTTGAGTTCCCGTCCTGACTTCCTTCAAGGATGAACAGCAATGTGGAAGTGTGAGCCAAATCTTTTCCTCCTCAACCTGCTTTTGGTCATGGTGCTTTATCTCAGCAATAGAAAACCTAAGTAAGATAAACACCTTTAAAGCTTATATGCTTAACCTTAAAATGCTAACCATATTTAGTATCTGAGTGGCTATTAAACTTCAGGACGAGGACGCATGCTGCGGCATGCCCCACTCCACTTTTAAAAAGTAAATTTTATAACTAAAAAGCAAACAAAACTAAGAATCCATCTGGTGACCAAGGAATTTCACCTTTCGGTATTTATCCCAAAACAAACAAACAAAACAAAACAAAACAAAAACCTAAATTTTAAATGAAAACATCCATAGAAGTTTGGTTCAAAATGGCCGATGGTTGGGGAAAGCCAGGCACTGATTCCTGAGAGAAGACGACTGTACAGTGGAATCCTACTGGGTAGTAGAGACACTGGAGTTTATCCATCAGTCCTATCTGAAAAGCATACTGAAAGAAGCAAACACAATAGAGTACACATGATACTGTTGGTGCCAAACATCAAAATAAATAAATAAAAGGAGCCAAATTAAACTACACACTAAAGCACTGTTAGGTAGAACCATACAATGACTCATCTTTTGCACCAGGGTTCTTGTTTTCTCAGTGTTTTGGTTTTGAGGTCCACACATGTTGTCGCACAAATCATCAATAGCTGTTTTGGTGTCCTGGCCCAGAAGAGCTCTCGTGCAGGTAGACCATAGTTGGCTTGTTCTCAGTTGTCAATTAAGGTACAGCAAACCCCAAGTGAGACATGAAGACAGAATGCAGCATCTCCACTATCCAAGCCCTGGCCTAGGGACCTTCCTTACACATATCGCAAGTCAAAAATTTAAAATGTCATATGGCAAGTCAGGAGGTGGTCAGTGTGACAGAAAGCAATGATGAGAGCAGAGCGTAAGGACCTGAAGTGCTAGTGGAAGAGTGGACATGGGGACAGCTGGAGAAGACCCTGCCTCAAAATTTAAACGGACTGGTGTTATAACTCAAAGGTAGAGAACTTAAACAAAATCCTGGGTTCAATTCCCTATATCACCAAAACAGTGGCAATAAAACACTGGTAAAACCCAAGTACCTAGGCCAAAGCAAAGGTCAGTACATACCCTAAAAATTAATATGCTCAGTTAACCAAAAGGTCATGTAGTTAGTGCAGTGCTACATGCCTATAATCTCAGCACTACGGAGTTTGGGACGAGCCTGGGTTATATAATCTTACCCTGTGGGAAAAATTATTTTCAATTGTAACTATGTATCTTTTAAAGCTCAGAAGTATCTCTTACATACAGACCTGAAAATGTTACCATTAAAAAAAGGAAGACTTCTGGCCCCTTGTGATGGTGCACTCCTATAATTCTAACGCTTGGATTGGAGGCAGAGGCAGACATCTCTGTGAGTTCAAGGCCAGTC